AATTGTACTTGATGAATCACGGATTAGACTATAATTTCTGTCTGTTCTCCTTTGAGGACACTCATTTCCTATATAATAAGTCACATGATTATCCCACAGGTTACTGATAATTTTTTTTCTGTTTTTGGGAAGATTCTTTTACTGTTAAATTTTCCCTTTTTATTTTATTGATTAGTTTATATTATGAGGCTAATCAGGGTGACTCCTGTTTAGCATCTATTTTTCATTTCCTATCTCCAGGAGAATGTCCATCTGTAATCATTCCACACATTTCTCTCCTTTAAACTTTAATTTTCTTCCTGTATTTTTCTAGATTTCCATTCACTTCAATAGTGTTTGCCCTTATTTCTGGGATGGATTTTGCAATGGGTGCCCTAAAGCCTTTGTCAGAGAAATATAACACTTCTGTCATCTCCTGAATGTCTTTCACATGAATGTTGAGCTTCCCTAAATCCATTATATATCAAGATAGTTGGACTCTATTCCAGACTTCCAATATTATTTTATAAAACTCTTGCATCTTGTTAAGATCCTATCTCAGGTTACTTTATAAAAGTTTTGCAATACTCTTTGCATTTATTTTGTATATACACCATACAGTCTCCCACTTGGAAACTGGTTGTGGACTATCCCTACCCCTCAATCCTGTTTTCAGTTTTTGCATCTTCTTTAGTATCAGATCCATGTGTCTGCAGTATAGAGGTAAGGCCATAATAAGATCATAAGTGATCTGGGTGGTTGCTTTCCCAACCTCATCTCTCTCAACCTCCTTAAACCTTATCTGTGATGTTTCCCCTTCTCCCACTGGTTTAACAAAGTGTATGTTTATTGCTGAGCACTTCTATGCCTAAACATGTGTCCAGGCTGAGTACCAGGAAGACAAGGCAACAGAACCAAGGAAGCTTCATGCCATCCTCTTGGATGCACTCTAGATCAGGTCCTTGCTCCTTCTGCTGTGACTTCTGTCAATGAAGCCAAATGTCCTGAAGGATGGGGTATTGAAAATGGACAGTAGGAAAACAAAACATGATTTCTCAATCCTACTCAGAGCATCAAGAGTCACCTTTCTCAGGATGAAACACTGAACAAGGGGTTTGTCCTGTCTCATATGGGATCCCTTTCAGTCCAGGGCTGCCTGGAGTCCAAGCCAGGGAGAAAAAAGGACGAGCAGAAATCTCACCTCTGAGTCCTGTCTTCCTACCTTCCCTTCTATGGCTTGTATTTCAGGGTTCACACACAGCTGTTTCATGCATTTTGGGGCCCATTTTCTTTTTTTAACTTTTTTGATAGAGAAACTATTACCTGCAAAAACAATAACATGTTGTTTTCAATATGGAAATTTAATTAGTATAAAGTAAATAAATATGAAAATACAGAGACTGAAAAAGCATTTCATAAATTTTTATGAGAAGCATCAGGAAGAAACATTTCTGTGGTTCTGTTTCTCCTGTGTTCCAAGGTTCAGAGAGCTGGTTTTATCATGGACAATGAGATACAGAGGAAAATAAAACAAAAAAGCAGAAAAAAACACATCTCTGTGACTCAGCAAATAAAACAGATAAATTGGAATGAATTTTCAGACAATTATGGAGTTCACCATAAAACCATATGACTGTTGTAGATACAGATGACTTATTTTTCTGTCTTCCTATTCTTTTTCTCATTCATTTGTCCATAGATTACCTGCATTAGCAATGTCATTAATAGTGTTCATTTCAAAATCTTAGTTCAGAGAGGTATGCAGATGTTCAGATGTTTATCTTGCAATCACATAACTTGCTTCACATGAAAACAGCTGTGTATCTCAGATTAGCTTACTTTAAGAAGAAAGATACTTTCTGCTGTCATTGAGAAGTTCTTTAAGAATTGCTTACTTTAGCTGGGTGCAATGGTGTACACCTTTAATCCCAGCTACTTGGGAGTCTGAAGTAGGAGAATCATGAGTTAAAAATCCAGCCTCAGCACACTTAGAGAGGCCCTAAGTAATTTAGCAAGACCCTGTCTCTAAATATCTCAGGTTTCACTAGGTGGCATAGTCTAATATTAGAATCCTTTCCTTCCTCTGAAGAGATCTATGAAATGGACTCAGAAAACAGTGATTTTTTTGTGAAGATGGCCTGGACTTCATCAAGACTGAATAGAAGGATGTTTTTTTCAATTTCATGGGAGGCTCACACCAGACTTATACAAAAGTCTTCTACCATGAACCAGTATTTCACCACACAATTGGCTCAATTTTTATTCCAATTTTTTGGGACATGACCATTATGAGATTTAAAAAAAATGCCAAGAACAACTAAAAAGGGTTAATAACAAAATGGCCTTGAAGCAAAAATAAGAAGCAAAAAAGAACCCGGAATAAAAAATAAAGGGCCGGCAAAACATTTGGAAGAAAAAGGCAAGGGGGAAGAAAAAAAAAAAAATGGAAAAACAAAGAAGGAGGGGGGGGGGGGGGGGGGGAAAATGAAGAAAAAAAAGAAAAAAAACGGAGCAGAAGAAGAGGGAGGAGGAGGGGGAAGGAGAACAGGGATGTTGGAGGTGGCATAAGCACACAGATGAACTCTGGTACCAAACACATCCTGTATTCTGTAGCATCACCCATGCTGTGATGGGAGAAGGAGTAAAATCAGTTTTGATTCCTATTTGTGAAGTAAGGAAACTTCCCTGAGGAGTGTCACATAGGTCTCTCTGAACCAGACCCTTTGTAGTAAGGCTAAAGTTTATTCTGCAATTTTCACTCTTCTATCAAAACACATGGACCAGAGACAGATTTTACATTTGGACATTCAATTATGTGGCCCACTGTCAAGAACACTGCAGAGGTCACTTCTCTGTGCTGTGCTGAGAAGGACAGGGTGGGTGAGGCTGACATAGAGTGAGAGTGAACTCCCTGTCCAACCCTCTCAGGTAAAAAGATGGTTTTGCAGAGGGAAGTTCCTGCTCTGAGGCTCATACACTGGCAGGGGGCAGCAGAACTGCAGCAAGGAGCAGTCAAAACAGAAGCCCCAGATGCCCTGGGGAGCCCAAGAGGAAGGCCAGCTGTGAGGTTCAATGGGTGTTTAAGGAACAGTCCCCAGATTGAAAGGAGAATTCATCCTATGGCCTTGGATTGTAATGAGCAAGGGTTTTGAGAGTCAGACTTAGAGTGTGTCAACCCACAATTATGCCAGGAGCCTGGGCAAAAGAGGGCTTTCCCTAGGAAATGCACTGGAGGAGCTGGTCCCAGGTATCAGGCTGGGCAGCTGCTGCAAGGCTGACGCTTTTGCATACAAAATGAAATTAAACCTGTCTCTCTCCCTGCACAAAACTCAACTCAAAATGGATCAAAGACTTAGGAACTAGAACAGAGACATTGCACCTAATAGAAGAAAAAGTAGGCCCAAAGCTTCACCATGTCAGCCTAGGACCTGACTTCCTTAACAATATTCCTATAGCAAAAGAAGTAAAATTAAGAATCAATAAATGAGATGGATTCAAATGAAAAGCTTCTTCTTAGCAAAGGAAACATCAATAACATGAGGAGAAAGCCTACAGATCAGGAGAAGATCTTTACCACATGCACCTCCAATAAAGCATTAATCTCGAGGATATATAAAAAAGATCAGAAAACTTAACACCAAAAAAAAACCTAATCAATAAATGGGCTAAGGAAATGAATAGACACTTCACAGAAGAAGAAATACAATCAACCAACAAATATATGAAAAAGTGTTCAACATCTCTAGCAATTAGAGAAATGCAAATTAAAACTACACTAAGATTTCATCTCACTCCTGTCAGAATGGCAATCATCAAGAATATAGGCAACAATATATGTTGGCAAGAATGTGGAGAAAAAAGTGCACTCATACATTGCTGGTAGGACTGTAAATTGGGTGCAACCACTATGGAAAGCAGTATGGAGATTCCTCAGAAAACTTGGAATGGAACCACTATTTGACCCAGCTATCCTACTCTTCGATTTATACCCAAAGGACATAAAATCAGCATACTACAGTAATGCAGCCATGTCAATGTATATAGCAGCTCAATTCACAATAGCTAAACTATGGAACCAACCTAATAATAAACGAATCAATAAATGAATGGATAAGGAAATGTGGTATATGCAGTGGAATATTACTCAACTTTAAAAAAGAATGAAATTATGGCATTTGCCAGGAAATGGATGGAGCTAGAGAATATCATGCTAAGTGAAATAAATCAATCCTGAAAAACCAAAGGCTGAATGTTTTCTCTAATATGTGGATACTAATTCACAATAAACTAGGGAGCCCTAGAGAAGAATAGCAGTAACTTATATTAGGTAGATGGAAGTGAAGGGAGGGGAGGAGAGGGTATGTGGGGATAGGAAAGATAGTAGAATGAAACAGACATTATTACTTTATGTATATATGTGGCTGCATGACCTATGATTCTACAACATGTACACTCAGAAAAATGAGAAATTATGTATGTATGATACATCGAAGTGCATAAATGCATTCTACTGTCATGTATAATTAAAAGAAATAAAAAAAAACTCTGTAGAGTGACATGGACTCTTTTGTCCCTCTTTTTACAGCTCTGATGATAGCCTATCCTTGGTTCATTGACAGGATCCTCCTTACAGGAAGAACCCCTGATCACCCACTTTCAAGAGTCAATTCTGTACCTGTGACCATGATAACATTCAGAGACCACAAGTCTAAAGTGCAGTTCTTAAATAGGTCTGTTTTCTGGCCTTTTTAACAAGATAATTTGAAACACTGATAAACAACTAAATAAAAGAAAGTATTCTTGTTCTGATCCTTAGTGCCTTGTGAGAAGGGGGATGCCACAGAAGGAAGAAAACACCAGATGTGAAATGAGAATAGAAGCTGTGATGAATACAAAAAGCAGGTGCATGCTTACCAAGCAAAATGTATATATGAAATGATTTACCAGAAAGGCTAATATTTCCAGACCACATTCAAATGAAACAGCAAGGATGGGACAAAAATGCACTTGGGGAACACAGAAAGAGAAGGAGGAAAGTGAGGTACAATGATTCACTGTCTGCTGAATCAGATGTTCTCAATGGCCACAGCAGGTTTCATCTCAGCCCATGACCAGGCTCCTAGAAGGTCAACAACCCTGCTGAGCTGGGCCCAGGACATACCACACCTCAGGAGGTCTGGGACAATGATCATCGTGTCAATTTTTGAAAGGAGACTCTGTCCTGGAAACTTGGGGTTCAAAGCTGATTTTCTGCCCAGAGAAAAATCTGGAGGAAGTTGGGACTCCACTCCTCCTCAGTCTCTTCTTCTCACTCCCACTTGCACTCAATGAAGAGACCTAGGAGAGGAGAAAATTTGCATGACAACCAAATACTACCCCAAAGGACATGAGAGGAAATAAGAGAGGCCTGAGGGAGCCCAGCTGTCTTGTGATTCTCAGGAGACAGAACTCTGGGACATCTCCACCATGGCCTGGATCCCTCTCCTTCTCACCCTTCTCTCTGTCGGCACAGGTGATCTGCTAACCTGTCCCCAGGCTCAGCTCTCACAGGATCCTAGGCTGGGTCTACCCCAACCCTTGAGCTCAGCCCAACATAGTCATTGAAGGGTACCTGCTAATGGGTCCTTCATCCTCAGGTCCCCCTCTCCTCTTCTCTCTTTCAGGTTCCATGGCCTCCTATGTACTGACACAGCCACCCTCAGTGTCAGTGACTCCAGGTCAGACGGCTATAATCACCTGCTCTGGAGACAAACTCTCTGAAAAATATATTCATTGGTACCAGCAGAAGTCTGCTCAGTCCCCTGTGCTGGTGATTTATGAGGACAGTGAGAGGCCTTCAGGGATCCCTGACCGATTCTCTGGCTCCAGCTCAGGGAACACAGCCACCCTGACTATCAGCAGGGTCCAGGCTGAAGATGAGGCTGATTATTACTGTCAAAGTTGGGACAGCAATGCTGAAGCACACAATGATTCAGGCAGATGGAGAAGTGAGACACAAACACTTTCCTTGTCTGTTTCACGTTCTTATAGTCTTCAGGAGGACTGGCAGTAAAGCCATAAGAAAGTCTGGCCCAGCTTATACCGATCTGAGGCCCCTAGACTGCCCTTTCCTTCCAGTTCTCTAGGTAGGCTCTGCAGAGGGGGTATCATGAGTGGATTTATGGGTGACATATCAGGCTGTCCTGGTGAGTTTTTGGCTTGGGTGTGTGTCAAGGATAGAGGACCTAAGTGGGAGGACAGATACAGGTCAATGAACTCTGTTCTTGATCCCTGAATTTACATTTTGTGTAGACTGGGCCACTTTTAGGTCCATATGACCTGGATTAATCAGAAGTATCCAGCCCTTGAAAAGCTCCTGAAGCCCCAAGCTCATAGGAAGCCTATGGATCTGAACTGAGCAAACCAGTATAGTGGGCCCTGTGGTATCTCCTCAGGTACTCCTCTGTCAGGCTGGCCCACCCATTCCCACACAGGGTGATTCTGGTCTGATTGCTGCCTGAAAAATCAAGTTGCCTGGCTCTGCCTCTGTAGGAATCCAGTTTCATGAAACTACTGACATTTTGGTTTCAGCTGTCATTTTTACCACTAGGTGACCATGGTATGCATTCTAAACCCTATAGAATAAACAGCCATTAATACAGTGTGTTTCACACCACACCCGGACAATTTCTTAACTGATGTTGGACTCGTTAATAGTTTGGGGAATGCCCTAGTACATGCGGAATCTCACACAGGCAAATTTCTTTTCACCAAGGTTAACCAGAAATGTAGAATAAAGGAAATTCTGGAAACTGTTAACATAAAGTCCTCATAGTCCACCCATTGGCAATGGGAACCCACACATTTTATAATCCACCAAATCTCTGAAAAAAGATTATGTTGAGATCCATGTTCCTAGTTAATAAGATGCAACAATCCTGGATAAAATCATAAACAGACTCACTGTTCCTTGGTGAAATTATGCAAAATCCTTTCTGACTTTTGGGTGACATTATTCTTCTCAGAGCTAATTCACATTTTATTTTCAAACACTTCATCTCAAAGTCAAACATATACTGTCAGAATGTCTTATGTTGGAAAATACAAGGAAGAAAGGGGATGAGAAAACAAGAATATTTGGCTAACCTGTATCTACATGTTCATTTCAAATACTTGAACCTCCTTGTTACTGGTTCCAACATTGTAGCTGATACTTATTATGACTCTTCACAATTTATTCCACATCACCTGAACCTTCAGCAAACACCTCCCCTCCCAGGTGGGAGGAATCCAGAGTTTATTTCTGAAGTTCCTGGTCCATTATCAGCTCTGCCTTAATGGTGGTAGTGATTTTCTGTCTTTAATCAAGAATCATGGGAGAACTGAAGGACTGCCTGCATATGATATTTATTCTTTATGCTATAACTTGAATGTCTCCACCAAAACTGAGGTGGAAATTCATTCCCCAACATGAGATAGAGTAGAGAAATGTAATCTATGTATTTAGAGGTCAGACCTTAGAAAGGTAATAAATGTTAATGAGGTTATAAAGACCAAGTCTTAATCCAATGGGACTGTAGCTTAAGGAGACAAAGAGAAACCTGAGCAAGATTTGTCTTGTTACATGATGCCCTCCGCCATCTCAGGACTCTGTAGCCTCTCTGTCAGCAGAAAGGCCCTCAGGAGAGTCAAGCATATGATGGTGCTATGTTGTTGGACTTATAGAACTATGAGCTAAATAAACCTCTTTTCCTCATAAGTTTCCTGTCTGTGGTAATCAGATATAGCAACATAAAAAAGACTAAGACTGAAAATTGGAATAGAGAAATAAGACTGTTTTTAACAATCAATACATGAAAATTTAGAAATAGGGCTGGGAGATCTTGGAGAAACAGGCTAAAAAAGCTTAAAATGCTGAAAATGGAACAATATGGATGATTCTGTTGAGGAGCTAGATGGCAAAAAAAAATTTAGGAAAAGTTTATAACTTCTTAAAGATTGGTTATGTGGTCATGACCAGGATGCTGCTAAAAATGTGGACAGATGAGGGCATCATGCTGATGAGGGCTCTGATGGAAAGGAGCAATATCATTTTGGAAACTGGAGTCAAGCAAAGAATCAAGCTAAACTGTGCCCAGGCCTTGGGGCTTGATGGAAAGCCAAAATTAAGAGAAAGTAAGATGTGGTGGAAGAAATTTCTAAATAGAAAAATCAGTGAGGCTGTTGCCTGTGTACTTTTGACCAATTATACTAAGATAAGAGAATAAGGAATTATTTGGTAGATATGGTGCAGAGACCTCCTACTTGGCAGCTATTTACCATCTCTCTCTCTCTCTCTCTCTCTCTCTCTCTCTCTCTCTCTCACACACACACACACACACACACACACCAAAATTCAAAGAATGAATGCAATGTTTTCTCTGAAATGTGGATTTTAACACAATAAGGTGGGTGTGGGTGGAAGGAAGAATAAAAGATCATTGGATTAGACAAAGGGAAGGAAGCTGGGGTAGGAATAAAATGATAGTAGAATGAATCCAACATAACTTTCCCATGTTCACGTACTATATAACTAGTGTAACTTCACATCATGTACAACCACAAGAATGGAATCTTAGAATAAGTTATACTCCATAAATATATATTATATATAATATTATATATATAATGTCAAAATACACTCTACTGTGTTGTATATCTAAAAAAGAGGATATTGCTAAATTGCTAAGGCTGGTCTTGAATTTGAGATCTTTCTGCCTAAGCCTCCTCAGTCATTGATGTGCACCACACTGCCCAGCAGTGATTCTTTTATAAAGTTGTGGTAAAATGTACAGAATAAAATTTTATCAACTTAATCCTTTTACAGTGCATTAGAAAAGGCTAGAAGAAATGATTTTGTAAGTTTTCACTATAAATGATAAATGTTTAGAGATATTAATACATTTAATCTTATTTAAACTTTTTTTTTTTGAGATGGGGTCTCACTATGTTGCCCAGGCTGTTTAGAACTCCTGGGTTTAAGTGATGCTCTTGCCTCAGCCTCCTGGGTGGCTAGGACTATAGGTACATGCTGAATTGCCTGATTTTAACCTGATTTAAATATTATACAACATGTACATGTATCAGAATTTCATGTTACCCTATTATATGTACAAGTGATAGAGCACTTGCCTAGCATGTATGAGGCACTAGGTTTGATCCTAAGCACCACATAAAAATAAACAAAAAAATGCATTCTGTTCATCTACAACTACAAAAAGAATTTTAAAAAATAAATTTAATTAAAAAAAGAGAACAAACCAGGCTCCTGTACTATTCATCTAAGGAGATTGCAAAGAATCCTAAGAAATCTCTGACAAAATTTCTGGCTCCATTTCAGAAAACACAGCTACCCTGTCCATCAGCAGAGCCCAACCTGGGGGTTAGGCTAACTATTACTGTCACAGGTGGGACAACAATGATAAAGCTCACAGTGACCCAGGCAGATGGATAAGTGAGATACAAACATCTTCCTGGTCTGTGTCACACTCTTCTTCTAGCCCAGGAGGCCTGAAAGCAAAGCCAGGTCAGGTCTGGCTCAGCTCAACCAGATCTGAGGACCCCAGTCTGCCCTTTCTACCCAGCCTTCCCTTTTGATATCTCAGGAGAAGATACAAAGACATTTATCACAACTGTGTTCAAGATCCAGAGGAATGAACAAAATATCACATAAACAAATAGAGATTATAGATATAGATACTTGCAGAGATGAAAACTGGAAGTGTGAGATTAAGGAAAAGTAAATAAATAAACAAACTGAGTGATAGTAAATGAGATACATGGAAGATCAGTGAACCTTAGAAACTACTAAAGATAAAACTGGGGGATAATAAAAATAATAATCAATACATCACTGTGTTGGGGAACAGCTTCTTTCAGCATAAAGTGTGTGTGATTGAAGTCAGGAAGGCAGGATGGGTATGGGGCATGAATAGATAAGAGTATTTGAGAAAATAATGGCCAAAAATATTCCACAATTGGGGAAAACCCAAAACCAACAAGCAAATAACTCACTAAAATCAATCCCAGGAAACATGAAGAAAACACTATCACCACATATGATGTCACTTGATTAAACTAGCAATGAATGGGACACTTGGACATTAATGATAGGAGCAGATTGTTTACCAGAAGCAGGAAAGGAAGAAGACTGGGGAGCAATACCTTTACAAAATGAAAGGAAAAATATGTCAACCTCAAATTCTTTACCCAGTGATACTGTCTTTCAAAAATTAAGGCAAAATGAAACTTTCACAAACACTGAAATTCACTTGAATTCAGGTATGTGGTGTCTACGTGTAATCCCAATGACTCAGGAGGAGGAGGCAAGCAGATTGCAAGTTTGCAGCCAGTCTTGACTATTTCTTGAGACCCTTAACAGTTTAGTAAAACTTTATCTCAAAATAAAAAGGAAAAATTACAGGGTTGTGGTTCAGTGGTAGAGCACCCCTCCAATCAAATTTCATTACCCCCATGAAAAAAATTATTAAAATAATACCTTCTTAAAGGTATAGATGAACTGTATTAGTCAGGGTTCTCCATGAAAAGAGAATTAATAGGAGATATAACAGCAATAGGATAAGATAGATGTAGGTATAAATATTTTGACAGATACAGAGAAAGATATAGGATAAAATAGGTAGGTAGAGATTATAGATACAAAAATTTTTTTTGTGTATTTTCTTATTATTTGCAGGATTAATAAAGAGAAAACCGAAACATACACATTTAGTACAGATACAACTTTTAGAAAACATTTGCAACACATGTTTGGTGGAATCTAAAGATGCAGAACCTACAAATGTTGAGAACCAACTGCAGGGAGATATGTACACATATTCCCTACAGTCCTGCATCACTTAGCAATAGTGGTATGTCCTGAGAAATGCATCATTAGGCAATTTCATCATTCTGTGAATATCATACAGTGCACTTTACACAAATGTAGATGGTACAGCCTACTACACACTAAGGCTACACGGAGTGTGTGTGAATATGTGTTGTATATGTACTATATGCTAATATATATATATATATATAACATATTGTACATATAATATATATTGAAACCTATTGCTTCTAGGGCCATGAATTAAGCAACATGAAATTGAATCCAGCACAGGAGAGATGAAGCAATCAAGAGACGGTAGCAGCCCTCTTGGTGTAGTGAGCAGTGCATCAGTCTCATAGTCTGAAGATACAGGAGAGGTGAGGCTGTTGTAAGCATAGTACAACATACAGCTTTATACTCAACATTTTTATAATTAGAAGGAGTACACTCTGATTAAAAATGAGAACTATACTACAAGAAACACAGATAATATCAAACTTATTTATTATCATGACAAATATTATCTACTGCACATAATTGTGTGATAGGGTTACATGATTGGTAGTACAGTAGTATTGTTTGCTTCATTATCATCATAAACATAAGTAATGTGTTGAACTTCAACCTCAGGACGGGATGCATAACAAGGTAACAGGAATTTTTCAATTCCATTGTAATCTTATGAGACCACCATTATATATGCAGTCTATGATAAACAAACACCATTATAGCAGTGTAAGATTGGATGGATACATATAATAGATACATAACCAGACACACATTCAGAAAGAGGCAA